TATTATTATTATTATTATTATTATTATTGTTATTATTATTATTATTATTATTATTATTATTATTATTATTATTATTATTATTGTTATTATTATTATTAATATTATTATTATTATTATTATTATTATTATTATTATTATTGTTATTATTATTATTTTTAAATTATTATTATTATTATTATTGTTATTATTATTATTATTATTATTATTTTTATTATTATTATTATTAATCTTTATTTCTACCAGTACATGATACAACTTATACAGACCATAGCTCACATTAATGACATAGAAAATCTATGGTTATGTAGAGTATTTCTGGCAAATAGGTTAATTTTGTCCCCCAGGATGCGACCCACACCAGTCAACTAACACCCAGGTACCTACTTACTGCTAGGTAAACATGGACAGCAGGTATCTTAACGAAACATGTCCCGTTGTTTCCACTCATACCTGTGCCTAAATAAACCTACTTCCAATATGCTAAAAATGGTATATAATAAGGACAAGTTGATGAGTAAGACACATGGTCGGTAGCGCACTCAGCTCACACATTGAGGTCCGTGGTTCGATCCCCGGTGCGGGTGGCAACATTAGGATGTGTTTCCTTAAGACACCTGTTGTCTATATTCACCTAGCAGTAAGTAGGTACCTGGGTGCTAGTACAGTTACATAGATTATCATACATAGCATAAGTGACCTATTTTTTAATTGTGGTCCTTTTATTATCTTATCAATAACATTACAATAATATAAAATCAAATATGGCAGATAAGAAATTAAATAAAAATGACACAAAACAAATTATGAAAAAATATAGAATAATAAGACGATAAAAATAAAATAAGCAATTATTCTTTGTGTTCTATTTCTTAGGATGTTATAGATCCATTTATCAACATTTACTGTTATTCCTTTATCACGCATTTTATGTGTTATTATACCATGGTCACACTAGCCGACGGCTTCACAAAGTCTGTATATACTACATTTGCATTTTGATTGTCCTCCAGTGCATCCAAGACTATGTTATAGTGATCCTGTAGCTGTGAGAGGCAGGAGCGACATCTGAGTAAGTGGAGGCAAGTGGTGTTTACGACTTAACATGCTGTTGGAGTGTGAGCACGGTAATATTATGAGGAGGTTCAGGGAGTATCAGAGGAGGAGCCATGCAATATAGCAGGTATCAGACGAGCTCTATATTACAGCAGGTATCAGCCGAGCTCTATATTATAGCAGGTATCAGACGAGCTCTATATTACAGCAGGTATCAGACGAGCTCTATATTATAGCAGGTATCAGACGAGCTCTATATTATAGCAGGTATCAGACGAGCTCTATATTATAGCAGGTATCAGACGAGCTCTATATTATAGCAGGTATCAGACGAGCTCTATATTATAGCAGGTATCAGACGAGCTCGACATTATAGCATGTATCAGACGAGCTCTATATTATAGCAGTCAGACGAGCTCTATATTATAGCAGGTATCAGACAAGCTCTGTATTATAGCAGGTATCAGACGAGCTCTATAATATAGCATGTATCAGACGAGCTCTATATTATAACAGGTATCAAACGAGCTCTACATTATAGCAGGTATCAGACGAGCTCTATATTATAGCAGGTATCAGACGAACTCTATATTATAGCATGTATCAGACGAGCTCTATATTATAACATGTATCAGACGAGCTCTACATTATAGCATGTATCAGACGAGCTCTATATTATAGCAGGTATCAGACGAGCTCTATATTATAGCAGGTATCAGACGAGCTCTGTATTATAGCATGTATCAGACGAGCTCTATATTATAGCAGGTATCAGTCGAGCTCTATATTATAGAAGGTATCAGCCGAGCTCTATATTATAGCAGGTATCAGTCGAGCTCTATATTATAGCAGGAATCAGACGACCCTCTATATTATAGCAGGTATCAGACGAGCTCTATATTATAGCAGGTATCAGGCGAGCTCTATATTATAGCAGGTATCAGCCGAGCTCTATATTATAGCAGGTATCAGACGAGCTCTATATTATAGCAGGTATCAGACGAGCTCTATATTATAGCAGGTATCAGACGAGCTCTATATTATAGCAGGTATCAGACGAGCTCTATATTATAGCATGTATCAGACGAGCTCTATATTATAGCAGGTATCAGACGAGCTCTATATTATAGCAGGTATCAGCCGAGCTCTATATTATAGCAGGTATCAGCCGAGCTCTATATTATAGCAGGTATCAGACGAGCTCTATATTATAGCAGGTATCAGCAGAGCTCTATATTATAGCAGGTATCAGACGAGCTCTATATTATAGCAGGTATCAGACGAGCTCTATATTATAGCAGGTATCACTATGACAAGGTCCTAAATGCACTAGAAGACAAAAAGAATGCAGATGTAATATATACAGACTTTGCAAAAGCCTTCGACAAGTGTGACCATGGCGTAATAGCGCACAAAATGCGTGCTAAAGGAATAACAGGAAAAGTCGGTCGATGGATCTATAATTTCCTCACTAACAGAACACAGAGAGTAGTCGTCAACAGAGTAAAGTCCGAGGCAGCTACGGTGAAAAGCTCTGTTCCACAAGGCACAGTACTCGCTCCCATCTTGTTCCTCATCCTCATATCTGACATAGACAAGGATGTCAGCCACAGCACCGTGTCTTCCTTTGCAGATGACACCCGAATCTGCATGACAGTGTCTTCCATTGCAGACACTGCAAGGCTCCAGGTGGACATCAACCGAATCTTTCAGTGGCTGCAGAAAACAATATGAAGTTCAACGATGAGAAATTTCAATTACTCAGATATGGCAAACACGAGAAAATTAAATCTTCATCAGATACAAAACAAATTCTGGCCACAAAATAGAGCGAAACACCAACGTCAAAGACCAGGGAGTGATTATGTCGGAGGATCTCACGTTCAAGGACCATAACATTGTATCAATCGCATCTGCTAGAAAAATGACAGGATGGATAATGAGAACCTTCAAAACTAGGGAGGCCAAGGCCCATGATGACACTCTTCAGGTCACTTGTTCTTTCTAGGCTGGAATATTGCTGCACACTAACAGCACCTTTCAAGGGCAGGTGAAATTGCTGACCTAGAAATGTACAGAGAACTTCAGCGGCGCGCAATAAGGAGATAAAAACCTCAATTAGATGGGAACGCTTGAGTTTCCTAAACACTAATTCCCTGGACGCAGGCGAAAGAGTCAGATTATATACACCTGGAAAATCCTAGGGGTGTAGTACGATACTTCAGGACACGAAAATCATCACTACGATTGCAAAAGAACTGCAGACGATGAACATCAACCTCATGAAAAGCAGGGGTGTCTCTAGCACGTTAAGAGACCTTACAATAATGTTCAGGGCCCGAGATGTTAACTGCCTCCAGCACACATAAGGGGGATTGACCAAAATGCAAGACCCCTGGCAGTCTTCAAGCTGGCACGGACAAGCACCTAAGTCGGTACCTGGCAGCGGCTGTGGTTCGTACCGTTGGTTTGCGTGCAACCAGGCGAGTATACAGTGATTGATTCAGGCTCTGATCCAACCAGAGGCTAGGTCACAGACCGCCGCGGGGGCGTTGGACACCGAGAACTCCCTCCAGGTAAACAGGCGAGTCTCTAAGTTAATAAACATGTATCAAACGAGATCTATATTATACATAGGGATTACAACGACTCATATTATAGCAGGATCAAACGAGCCTATATTATAACAGGTATCCTAACGTTGCTCTATATTTAGCAGTGAATCAAACAGCTTTACATTATAGCAGGTATCAGACGGCCCGACCATTTAGCATGTATCAGACGAGCTCTATATTATAGCAGGTATCAGACGAGCTCTATATTATAGCAGGTATCAGACGAGCTCTACATTATAGCATGTATCAGACGAACTCTATATTATAACATGTATCAGACGAGCTCTACATTATAGCATGTATCAGACGAGCTCTATATTATAGCAGGTATCAGACGAGTTCTATATTATAGCAGGCATCAGACGAGCTCTATATTATAGCATGTATCAGACGAGCTCTACATTATAGCATGTATCAGACGAGCTCTATATTATAGCGGGTATCAGACGAGTTCTATATTATAGCAGGTATCAGGCGAGCTCTACATTATAGCAAGTATCAGAGGATGAGTGCTACATTATAGCAAGTATCAGAGGATGAGTGTTACATTATAGCAAGTATCAGAGAGCATGAGCGCTACATTATAGCAAGTATCAGAAGATGAGCGCTACATTATAGCAGTATCAGAGGATGCTGCTACATTATAGCAGTATCAGAGGATGATGTCTATATTATAGCAGGTATCAGAGATGAGCGCTACATTATAGCAAGTATCAGAAGATGAGCGCTACATTATAGCAAGTATCAGAGGATGAGTGCTACATTATAGCAAGTATCAGAGGATGAGTGTTACATTATAGCAAGTATCAGAGGATGAGTGCTACATTATAGCAAGTATCAGAGGATGAGTGCTACATTATAGCAAGTATCAGAGGATGAGTGTTACATTATAGCAAGTATCAGAGGATGAGTGCTACATTATAGCAAGTATCAGAAGATGAGCGCTACATTATAGCAAGTATCAGAGGATGAGTGCTACATTATAGCAAGTATGAGAGGATGAGTGCTACATTATAGCAAGTATGAGAGGATGAGTGTTACATTATAGCAAGTATCAGAAGATGAGTGTTACATTATAGCAAGTATCAGAAGATGAGTGCTACATTATAGCAAGTATCAGAGGATGAGTGCTACATTATAGCAAGTATCAGAGGATGAGTGTTACATTATAGCAAGTATCAGAGGATGAGTGCTACATTATAGCAAGTATGAGAGGATGAGTGTTACATTATAGCAAGTATCAGAAGATGAGTGTTACATTATAGCAAGTATCAGAAGATGAGTGCTACATTATAGCAAGTATCAGAGGATGAGTGCTACATTATAGCAAGTATCAGAAGATGAGTGCTACATTATAGCAAGTATCGCTACATGGGGTGGATCACAGGGTGAGATGTAAACAAACAATGGGTGTTCTTCCTGTCTTTCACTTTTAATACTTGTTTATGTAAATTAACATCTGATTTTGGGGAGGACATCTTGATGCTGTTGGAGGGCTCTTGATCAAGGAATTGGGGCTACCCGCCCCTTCCTCGGATCAAACATGATTAATTCACATTTCATAGGCGCTGTACTCGTCTATGGGGGGTTGCAGGGATCGAGTCTTAGCTCCTGGCCCTCCCTTCTCTTAGCCTCATGCGCTCTAATCGTACCTGCTCGTAAAACTGTGCACAGAGACTGACTCCGCTACTTTGTCATTGAGGTTATTGCACTTTCTTACTCCTTTAAAACTGAAGAAATACTTCCTGACATCCTTGTAACTCCTCTCAAGGGAGGTTCCTTGATGCTGGTGAAGGTCTCTTGATCTAGGGAATTTGTGTTCCAGTTCCCTGAATTGAGTCTGAATACCTTCCATTCACCCCCCAGAGGCACTATAATCCGTACGGGTTTAGCGCTCCCCATGATTATCCCTGTATTATCTTTATATTTAACTTCCAGCTGTGCCCTTCAGTACTTGTTTCCTACCTTTTAAACAGCATGTCCCTGTATGCTCTATCAATTTTGAGTATTTTGTATATTATCATCATACCTCCCCTGGTCCGTCTGGCCTCCATTTCCTTTAACCTCTGTTTTTAGTTTATAATCCTTCACTCTGGTGCTAGTCTCATGTACTTTCTACCTTATATAGCGTCCTTAGGTGTAGGTTCGATACTGGTGCTGTGTAATAATAATAATAATAATCTTTATTTCTACCAGTACATGATACAACTTCTACAGACCATAGCTCACATCAGTGACATACTGTATAGAAAGTTCCCGGTTATGTAGAGCATTTCAGGGAATTAAGTTAGTTTTGTCCCCAGGATGCGACCCACATAAGTCGACTAACACTGAGGTACTTATTTTATTGCTAGGTGAGACTGGGACAGCAGGTGTCTCAAGGAAACACATTATAATGTTTCCCCCGTACCGGGGATCAAACCACGGACCTCAGTGTGTGTGCTACCAACCCAGCTACAGCCTGATGTGTTGTATAAAGCACCTGGAATGGCTGTTAGTTGAGATTCCTGAAGGCGACTCTTAGTTTTGCCAGGCGAGCATTATCTGCGAAGGTTATTCATAGCCGTGTGAGTTCAACATTTCTAAATATCCATTAGCGCATATTATTACTACATATTATGAATACCCCTTAGGAGGGTTCCTTGATGTGCCTAGGGGCTCTTGATTCCAGGCATTGAACTTGTTCTCCTCTTCCTTGGACCAAACCTGATTGCCTCCCATTCCTCAGATGTTTTAAGATCCATACAGGTTCAGAGATTTCCCTAAATATAATACGCAATTATAATTTCCTGTGGAAATATTACATGCATGCATGTGTTTTATGTAGTATTTATTTAGTTATATACTATTTTACAGATGCGTATAGGAAATAAATCAGTCTGTATACGTGCATCTAAAACAAATACATAAATAAACATTAATAATATATATATATATATATTATTTATTTATTCTAATATTTGTTTTCAGAGTGAAAAAACAACAAAAGAAATCTACTGTTGAGAAAAATATTCTATTAATAAAAAAGTTAGGATACAATGTCTTCTCATAAGTTTGAGTTATTAGATGAGGAAGTCGAGGCACTTCTGGATCAGATCACTGATAAACTAGAGGTGAGATATGTTTGCCTATACAGTGGACCCCCGGTTAACGATATTTTTTCATTCCAGAAGTATGTTCAGGTGCCAGTACTGACTGAATTTGTTCCCATAAGGAATATTGTGAAGTAGATTAGTCCATTTCACACCCCCAAACATACACACATAAACGCACTTACAAAAATACACTTACATAATCGGTCGCATTGGGAGGTGATCGTTAAGCGGGGGTCCACTGTACTGTATATTGTGTAATATGATGGTGAAGTCAGAGGGTAATCTAATTGTGATGTCAGCACAATTCTGACAAGACAATGACTGAATGAATGATGCTAAATGTGTTTTCTTCTTTGGGTTGCCTTACCTTGGCAGGTGATGGTTGTTGAATTAATAAAAAGCTATGATATTACTTACAGTAAATTTTGAAAATGAATAACTTTTAATATATGTCATTTTAAAATATTTGGTTAATTCTTGAAGTGCTGTACATGGTGTAGCATGTACAACAAGACAGATATTCAGCATTTTACCCCCCAAAAAATGTCCTAGACAAAATTTATACTAAGCAAAACCCATTTTCTTGTGGGTTGGCTTTAGAAAACCAAATTCCAGTGTTTTTTACAATTAAATCACAACTTTGATGGGAGTATTGACATCATCACTTGTAAACACATTAACAGGTTTATAAATTATGTTTAGTGAGAAAATAGATTATTTTTTACATCATATTTAATGAAAAAATGTATCTGTTCCATACAAGAAAATTTGAGAGAAGCTCAATTTTTTGAGCAATTTGGTTTAATTGACCAATTAAATGGAATTTACTGTACAATATATGTATACTGTTCCACAACATAGTAAATGTATCCACTCATTACTGACAGGAAGGATTTAGTTATGACTGTAATAATAATAGATGGATTTTTTTTTAAATTTGGGTATGATGTTATTGTTCATTATTATTATGATGTGTGGCCCGGTGGCCTGGTGGCTAAAGCTCCCGCTTCACACACGGAGGGCCCGGGTTCGATTCCCGGCGGGTGGAAACATTTCGACACGTTTCCTTACACCTGTTGTCCTGTTCACCTAGCAGCAAATAGGTACCTGGGTGTTAGTCGACTGGTGTGGGTCGCATCCTGGGGGACAAGATTAAGGACCCCAATGGAAATAAGTTAGACAGTCCTCGATGACGCACTGACTTTCTTGGGTTATCCTGGGTGGCTAACCCTCCGGGGTTAAAAATCCGAACGAAATCTTATCTTATCTTATAATCAAAACCAAGCGTTAAACCCACTAGGGTCATACAGTGCTGATGTTATTATACAGTAGTTTTATTTCAGAACACATTTTTAAATGCTCTGACTCTGTGTTCATCATCTCAATTTCCTCCAGCAGCTGTGACCCCTTCCACTCCCTCTTTCTTCCAATATATTTCCCATAGTATCTCAAATATAATAATCATAATTGTGTTTTTTCCTCTGCTATCTAGCACATGATGCCAGTGAAGGACTCTTGAACCAGAGAATTGATCCAACCTGATTGTCTCTCATTTCTCAGATGTTGTATGACCCTTATGGGTTTAGCACTTCCCCTATATATGAAATAATGCAAATGTAATACTGTGCTCAATTATGATTATGTTAAATATTGCTGTATCTCTTTGGTATAAAGCATAAACTGTGTTTTAATTTTCCCACTTTGCCTTGCAGTGTGGTATTGGACAATGCAAAAGTCAGGAGGAACGGAAAACTCTGTTATCAGAAATTGAGAGATCATTGAAAGATGCAAGTGATGGATTGGTGGAAATGGACATTGAAATAAAGAAAGCTCCTCTTGAGTACAGGAATACAATGACCAGCAAAGTACAGCGATACCAGAATGAATTATTAAGGTTTCTGCTTATGACTCGAGTTTCTTACCTTACTTTCCAGCGTCAGATCATTGGACTTTAGTTTTTGACAAGCATGTTTACTACCTGCAGATATTTGTATATCATGATGTCCTTTCTGTACGTATTCAAATTAATGAATACATACAAAATTAACTAATATTACTGTCATGAGGGACGTGGATATCAAACAGATAGACAAACTGAAACTGTTTTTATTTGGTTCAGCACTGTATGCCCCATTGGTTTAGTGCTTAGTTTTGATTATAATAATAATAATTTGTATTTGGTCTAGGTTGAAAGCACATCTTTTCTAGAGCTTACGATTATACTGTCACTCTTAGGTTAGGTAAGATTCATCAGGAAACAGGTCACTTCTGTCACTCTTGAATGTAAACTTTAGTACTATTTTTTTTTTTTTTTAGCCATTGCTGTATTCATGGTTTTTGTATGTAAGTGCCTGTGAATTTCATGAAAGAACAGGCCCTCAAGAATTATAAAATCCCAAATTATTATTTATATAAAGTAGTCTTATTCTTTTTAGTATTTTCTTTTTGGGGATTTTCTTTCTTTTTGGGTCACCCTGCCTCAGTGGGAGACGGCCGACTTGTTAAAAAAAAAAATACAGTAGTCCCCCCTGTATCCGCAGGGATACGCTCCAAGACCTACCATGGACCCCTGAAACTGTGGATAGTAGCGAACTCTATATATAAGTCATTTTTCACTTACATACATACCTGGGATAAAGTTTAATTGATAAATTACACACAGTAAGTGGAGAATTAGCACTTTTTCACTGATAGGAAGCACTTCATGGCTTCTCTTAGGCTTTGAACATCTGCCATCTAAACATGTGCTTTGGGGTCAGCATTAAACACAATAAAGGCTTATTTTTCAGCCACAGTAAACCATGGATAAGTGAAACTGTGGAAACTGAATCTACAGATACAAGGGTTCTGCTGTTATCCCCCAGCACTATCTTTCATTATAACAAGTTTTTTTTATGTGTACGAATGGTACATAATACCGACAAGATGAGATTAAGACACATGTGCAACATCTGGGTATCTTTATTGTAGACGTTTTGCCATCCAGTGGCTTTATCAATACAAATTCTAGGACATAACTTGAAGACAGTAGAACTATGTACAGAAGATGAGGTAATCAGTCCCTCAACCTAGGAGTAGGTGCGAAGAGCACCATAGTCGTGGAGATTCGTCATATGGTGCTCTTCGCACCTACTCCTAGGTTGAGGGACTGATTACCTCATCTTCTGTACATAGTTCTACTGTCTTCAAGTTATGTCCTAGAATTTGTATTGATAAAGCCACTGGATGGCGAAACGTCTACAATAAAGATACCCAGATGTTGCACATGTGTCTTAATCTCAAGTTTTTTTTACCTTACAGTGCCATGAGTAGGATACAAATTGTCTTGCACTTCATTTACCTCCATTGAAAAATAATTTAGATAAAATTTTTATTTTCTGATTTTAATTGCGTATGCATTTTTTAATTTCTGTCTATGAAGTAAAAATATTCTACTATTGCTGCCTATTGTGGGCAGTTACTTTTTACATTGAAGCACATAAGTGAACACTATCTCAATAAAGGTAAGGAAGTTTTCGTTGCATTTATGGATTTAAAAAAGGCATACGATAAGGTGGATAGGGGAGTAATGTTACAGTTGTTGCAAGCGTATGGAATAAATGATAGGTTTCTAAAAGCAGTTAAGAGTTTTTATGAGGACATTGAGACTCAAGTTAGGGTATGTAGGAGAGAGGGAAATTATTTTCCAGTAAAAGTCGGCTTTAGACAGGGATTCATGATGTCATCATGGCTGTTTAACATATTTAAATTTGGGTAAACAGCAACCAACCCAGGGAGGTACTCCCGTTCCAAGTGAGTGTAAAACAAAAGCCTGTGATTTTTTTACATGAGTTAGGATTGCTGATGTCTTTTGTCTGTCTCATAAATATGAAAGTTTACGGGCAGTTTTGTACTTCTCAAAACACTTAGGTCACACTAACATACTGTACACTTTTATTTATACACACCACTGAGTTTTTTTTATTTTCTTAAAGTTTGGGGTCTTTTTAATTTTTCCTTTTATACCATGGGAAGTGGAATAAGAATCTTTCCCCCAAAGCCATGCGTGTTGAAAAGCAACTAAAATGCCGGGAAAAAAGGGTAGTACCCCTTTTCCTGTAAAGATTACTAAAAAGAATAAGAAGAAAAATTTCAAAGTGGGAATCTGAATGTGCGGGATGTTGTGCAGTGATAAGAAAAGAGATTGTGGTGTTATGAATGAAAAACTGGATGCCCGGGTTTTAAGTAAAACAAAGTGAAGGGGGGGGGAGAGTTTCTTGGTAGGAAAAATGGGATTGGTCGGGGGTTTCAAATAAGTTAAGCTAAAAAAGGGTAGCAATAAGTTGAAGGATAAGCTATGGCAGGAAAAGAGGACTATAAATGATTTTTCAAGTTTAGTGGAGTAAAAAAAAGTTTGGGGTGTGAAAAGGGTTAAATAAGCGTGTATTCACCTGGAAAAGAGAGAATTTTAAGGAAGAGAGAGATTTTGGAAAGTTGAGTGATGCGTGGGATTTTGAATCAAGTGTGAGAGAAATGGTGGTTGGGGATTTATGCAAAAAGTGGGTAAAAATGTTAGGGAAAGGGGTTTAGTAGGAAAATTTTTGGGGTCCCGGGGGTAAATGTAAAGGGGGAACCCCCTTTAATTGAGCTTTTGGTAAAAGAAATTTGGTAATAAGTAATACATATTTTTAAAAAAAGGGGATAATTAATATCAAGGTAGATGTACACTAATGAAAGTGTTATTAGATTATGATTGGGAATAAAAGGTTGATGGGTACTCCAGGAGACATTTTTAATAGAGGGGCAATGATATATGGATCATTATTTAGTTGTCTACATTTAGAGTAAGAGGGTAGATGGGAAAAGAGGAAGGTGGAACAACAATAAGGGAGGTGAAAGTGTATAAACTAAGGGAGGAGGAAGTTCGGGTGAATATAAGCGACTATTGGCAGAAAGGTGGGCTAGTGCAAAGATGAGTAGTGGGGGGGTTGAAGAGGGTTGGAATAGTTTTTAAAAATGCAGTATTAGAATGTGGGGCAGAAGTTTGTGGTTATAGGGGGTGGGGCAGGAGGAAAGAGGAGTGATTGGTGGAATGATAAAGTAAAGTGTTTTGATAAAAGAGAAAAAGGTAGCTTATAGAGGTTTTTACAAAGCAGAAGTGTTAAAGAAGAGCAGAGTATATGGAGAGTAAAAAAAAAGTAAAGAGAGTGGTGAGAGAGTGCAAAGGAGAGCAGATGATAGAGTGGGAGAGGCACTGTCAAGAAATTTTAATGAAAATAAGAAAAAATTTTGGAGTGAGCTAAACAAGTTAAGAAAGCCTAGGGAAAAAAATGGATTTGTCAGTTAAAAACAGAGTAGGGAGTTAGTAGATGGGGAGATGGAGGTATTAGGTAGATGGGGAGAATATTTTGAGGAACTTTTAAATGTTAAGGAAGAAACAGAGGCAGTAATTTCATGCACTGGTCAGGGAGGTATACCTCTTTTAGGAGTGAAGAAGAGCAGAATGTAAGTGTGGGGGAGGTACGTGAGGCATTACGTAAAATGAAAGGGTAAAGCAGCTGGAACTGGGTGGGGTCATGACAGAATGTTAAAAGCAGGGGGATATAGTGTTGGAGTGGTTGGGACTTCTGTTTAATAAATGTATGAAAAGGGGAAGGTACCTAGGGATTGGCAGAGAGCATGTATAGTCCCCTTTTATAAAGGGAAAGGGGACAAAAGAGACTGTAAAAATTATAGAGGAATAAGCTTACTGAGTATACCAGGAAAAGTGTACGGTAGGGTTATAATTGAAAGAATTAGAGGTAAGACAGAATGGAGGATTGGGGATGAGCAAGGGGGTTTTCAGAGTGGGTAGGGGATGTGTAGATCAAGTGTTTACATTGAAGCATATATGTGAACAGTATTTAGATAAAGGTAGGGAAGTTTTTATTGCATTTATGGATTTAGAAAAGGCATATGATAGAGTGGATAGAGGAGCAATGTGGCAGATGTTGCAAGTATATGGAATAGGTGGTAAGTTATTAAATGCTGTAAAGAGTTTTTATGAGGATAGTGAGGCTCAGGTTAGGGTGTGTAGAAGAGAGGGAGACTACTTCCCGGTAAAAGTAGGTCTTAGACAGGGATGTGTAATGTCACCATGGTTGTTTAATATATTTATAGATGGGGTTGTATTATTATTATAATCAAGGGGAAGCGCTAAACCCGTAGGATTATACAGCACCTGGGAGGGATGTGGAAGGCATTCAGGCTTAATTCGGGGAACTGGAGCACAGATCCAATTCCCTAAATCAAGAGCCCCTCACCAACATCAAGGAACCTTCCCTGAGGGGGATGGGGTTGTAAAGGAAGTAAATGCTAGGGTGTTCGGGAGGGGTGGGATTAAATTTTGGGGAATCAATTTCAAAATGGGAATTGACACAGTTACTTTTTGCTGATGATACTGTGCTTATGGGAGATTCTAAAGAAAAATTGCAAAGGTTAGTGGATGAGTTTGGGAATGTGTGTAAAGGTAGAAAGTTGAAAGTGAACATAGAAAAGAGTAAGGTGATGAGGGTGTCAAATGATTTAGATAAAGAAAAATTGGATATCAAATTGGGGAGGAGTATGGAAGAAGTGAATGTTTTCAGATACTTGGGAGTTGACGTGTCGGCGGATGGATTTATGAAGGATGAGGTTAATCATAGAATTGATGAGGGAAAAAAGGTGAGTGGTGCGTTGAGGTATATGTGGAGTCAAAAAAACGTTATCTATGGAGGCAAAGAAGGGAATGTATGAAAGTATAGTAGTACCAACACTCTTATATGGTGTGAAGCTTGGGTGGAAAAATGCAGCAGCGAGGAGACGGTTGGAGGCAGTGGAGATGTCCTGTTTAAGGGCAATGTGTGGTGTAAATATTATGCAGAAATTCGGAGTGTG